TAGATTACTAATACAATTCTAATTACTAGTGAACTTTCCTCGTGTGGATATCGTTAGAGAAAGTGTATTTCGGCTTCTCGTAAACTATTCTAACATTCGTGCTGGGTTGCTAACGTGCAAATTTGAATATACTCAATTCTCACATCAGTCGGAAGCTTGTAAGGTATAAATTGGTTTTCTCAAAATAAATTTATGCATATTGTATCTTAGGGCATAAAATTAGGGTTGCAACGTGATTCAATCACATATTTTGATATTAAAATTTTAAATTTTCGTTGCCCTAAGATTCCCTATTTTGATGCAAATCCAACATTATTATTTAAGTGAAATAGATTCATTTATTATTCAATGTTAATTGTGATTAGAAATAAGAAAATCTTATATCATTAGTTTAGTTATTACATATAATTTTCAATTTCAAGAATCGGCCACTTAATTAATTTATTACTTCAAATTTTCAGTTCTTAACTTTTAATACTATCAATCAAGCCTCAGTTTTTAGATTGACAAATCAAGTAAATTTAATCTCGAGTTGACTAATAATCTAATACCTTGTTGATTTAATTCTCCGGTAATTAAATGAGGATCAGATCACCAGATATACTCTATTATCTTCGAGAGAACCCAAAAGAGATCCTATTTTTTACGTCTTTACTTTGGAGAGATTTTGCAAGTGTTTTTGACGTCATGCAAACCGAGTTGCCAAAATGGATCGTCCCTTATTAGGGCCAATCAACACAAAAATTACCTAAATCCTTGGCTACAAGCTACCTAATTAGGCAACATATGGGATGAGCTCGGCGGAGCATGAAGAGCTGAGGTACGGGTTCACATTAAAGTCTATTTAACATTTATTTTAAATACATAATTAATAAATTAATGTGTAGAAAAAAATTAAATATCTAAGAATTTAAAAAAAAATTAAAAGGGAATTTTATCCTATCCTATTTCCATGACTAGAAAAAATTATCATTGTTTTTTTTAATGTAAAAAAATTGTTTATTTAAGAAGCAATTTGTTTTAAATGAGAATAATTTTGGGTCGTTTTAAAAGTAAAAGCTTTCGTAACTTATGTGTTTTTGTTTGTTAAGGGTGCTTGGAGGGGTTTAATTTTGCCCAAGCCCCAATACAAACAATTATGATTAGTTACTGATTCTGTTAGTAGTTAGTGTCTGTAATAATTAGTTGTTGATTCTATTAGTAGACTTTCTTTTATATTTGTTTCACGGTCATCTGATTTGTCCATTACTGTTGAATAAAGAATTATTCTTGTTCTATTAAGGTTTTGTTGTGTGGAAGTTTTGCAAGGTTTCTGTTAATCCACTCAGGATTTCCTAAACACTAAGGAATTGAATCATTTTTGAACAAAAATCTTACAAAACTCCCACGCAACTAAACCCTAATAGAGAGCTATATATGAACTGAGAGAATTTTGAAAAGAATAATGATTCTTTAATCAACATCAATGGATAGATTAGATGACTCTGCAACAAATATAAAAGAAAGTCTCCTAATAGAATCAACAACTAATCATAACAGACATTAACTACTAATAGAATCAGTAACTAACGATAGTACACATAACCACTAACTAACAATAGCATACTCTAACCTAATCAAAAACTAACCATGACAGACACAAATTACTAACTAATAACAAACTCACTAACTAACATAACAAGTTTTTCAAATTGGTACATAACACAATTTCTTCAAAGTGTTCTATAATCTTGGCAAGAAAGATATCTAAGATAACCAATCCATAGTAGCTTAATTTTAAGGGTAAACACAAACATCATTAACCTATTTTGGAGCATTTATCATGGCCTTCAAGCTGTAGCAAGGAATGCATGGGCTAAGAGGTCCTCGCCGTGTAATAGTTGGTGCATTTGTTAGTCTTAATTAGTTCATTTGTTTTACATGCTTGGTACTAACAAGATATAAGTGGGTGATGACTTATGTCTTAGATGCATGTTTGCAGCTTGCAGTTGTATATGCATCATCCCTTTCTCATCAGTTATGCCATTTTTTGTTTTAGAATTATTTTTAAATAAGTTTATAGATAAACCTACATCTAGAGAGAGAACCCCAGAGAAGGACACGGACAGCAAAAGCTTTCTTGTTGAAGGATTTTTCACGGGTGAATTTGCAATACAAATATTGGCTATTTATAGCCAAACTCAACCCGCTTTGCAATTAATGTCAACCCTCATAAACTTGTCGCCAACCTCATCCCCTCCTAACTCCCGAGAGAGAGAGAGAGGGGGGGGGGAGTAAGCCTAATTTCCATTCTCGAATCCCCTCACCTCTTGTATACAACAAAGACCATTGTAAAAATATTTTTGATAAGTTATATTAAGTCACGACTTTGAAACATTTCTGTGTCCAAAAAAGGAAAATAAAAATAGGGCATAATGTTACTTATGGACGAAATTAATTAGCATCGTCAAAAACTTAAAAGGAACATCATTGGTGGGAGACCTAATCGCCAAAATGGGTATCAGTAGGAGATTAAACAATAGAGACAGGCATTAACAGCAAATCTAATAGTTTATTTGTAACGAGGATGGTGAATCAACCACAACATTGAAGTGCTGGAGAGGAGTTGGAAGGAGGATGAAGATCAAGGGAGAGGCACAAAAGGTAATATAATATTTGTTGACCTTTCTAATAATATTTGGTTAAGGGGGCATATAGATAATTTTACAAAAATTTAAATGTGATTTGGGAGGATCTTTAAGAGGTTTGGGGTTAATGAGTCCACATATGAGAGTTTGAGAATGACTGGGTTTTGTAAAAAAAAAAAAAAAAAAAAAAGTTACTGTAACAGTACTATAGTAACGTGTCGTAATGCACTAAAACACGTTGTAGTATGTTGCTTATTAGAATTAGCACACTATAGCGCATCAGAGCTCGCCATGACAAGATTTTTCACATTTTTTTGAGATTTTTAGGGCTTTTAACCTCTCTAATGATTCATAAACTATCTTGAATTCTTAAGACTGCAAAAGGGAGACTTGGGTGACATCCTAGGACATCCAAATTATTCAAATTATTGAATATTCAATCAAAAACTTTGCTAAAACAATTGGCCATCCTCTGTTTAATTAGGAAATCTCCACTTTCGATAAGATTCAAATATTGTTCAACAATTCCAGCTATCCGAGAATAAAGAGTTGAGAATTTCAATAGTTCGGGATTGAGGCGTGAAGGGAGATGGGTTTGTTTTCTTGAAGTTTTTGTTAAGATTTAAATATGGCTTTTTGATTCCAAGTTGTAATGCAGTTTTAACTTACATATTACTTTGTAAATTAGTTTTTCCCTACTATTATTCTTGATTAGATTTAGATCTTTGATTATTATTGTGTGATCCATTTTCTGGACATTGTTTAGTGTTTCAAAGAAACTATTGATCAAAATATGGGAGGCAAAAAAAAGAAAGATGATATTAATATTGAATTCACTTTAGTCACAAGAACCACCCCAAAAGGACATGTTTGAAAAATTTGGGCTTCAATCTAGGATTTACTCTTCCATAGATTTAAAATGATATTTGGGATTGATTAGAAATTCTATATTTAGTGTAGAGAAAGTTTAGTATTTTTTTTTATTGATTAAGAGTGATCATTACAAAAAAGCATAATTAATAAGATTTATAATTTATCTTTAAAATTAAAATGGATCCACTGGTTTAAATATAAATAGATGCAACATTTATTTAAATATTAACGACATGGAGTTGATTGGTTGTAAAAATATCCAAAGGAATGCCCCGATGTTGAATGAAAAATTTAAATGAATAGTTTGATTTCAGTCATAACTTTTGATAAGAAAGGAGTTTTTAGACCCACCTTTTCCAATTCGTCAACGTGGTAATCCTTGCATTTGTGCAATTGAGAAGGCAGAGGAATCTCCCTCTCTTTCTCATTCAACCAAGGAGAGAGGGAGTGACCAATTTATTATGCACTGATCAAAATATTATTGCAATATGATATATTTCTGGATGATTAGTCTCTCTCTCTTCTTTTTTATTTTTTTAGTTGAATCACTTGGTACCAATTTGTTTGCTTTGTTACTTTGTTTTCTCTAAAGAGAAATGAGAATAAATGGAATTTTCTTAATTTAGAAGATCACCTTAATTAGTTATTTAAGTGAAAAAAATATTGCAAATCAAATGGAGTCTATTAGGGAAAACAAGTGATAAGATTACATAAAATATAAAATGAATTTGGTGTACTTAATAATAAGAAGGCCGATCGTGTACAAAAAAAAGAAAGAAATATTTTCCTGTGACAGTTTATGTCTATTGCACATTGGATCCCAAACAAAAAATAAATTTAAAAGAAAATATTTCAAAATACTCTGTTGCAAATAAAAATAAAAAGAGGAATAAAATTATATTTAAACAGTAAATAAAAAGTGGTTGATTTTCACATAAGACTAATGAAATAAAAAATTATTTGTTTAAAAAGAGATTGGTTTTAAAAGAAAATAATTTTGAGTAGTTTTACAAGTAAAAGATCTTCATGAAATTATGGGTTTTTTTGTAAGGGGTGCTTGGGAGATTTTAGGTTTGCCCCAAAAAATATTTTAAAAAATTAAATTGAACGTTTAGAAATTTATAAAATACTTTCATTATCATGTATAATCAAAAATAAAATTAATATATCTAAAATTAGTTTGCTCAAATTTATTTTATGTAAACCCACAAATTTAAACCCATTTTTGCTTTACAAAAATAAAAATTGGAGGCTCTTGCCCTCCCCTAAAAGGGCCTTCAAAATTGTTTCCAAGAAGTTAGAAAAGCACATAAATCAAACAATTATTTTACAACTAAAAACACATATATATACTAATTACTGAATTTTATTCCCTTTATTTTCTAGTGTATCAAAGGATAGCTGGAATGAAATTATGATCAATGGATAGTCATGATGCGGGGAACTCCAACTCTACCTCCGAAAGATAATTTTTAATTTGGTCCTTTGACAACTCCATCTTCAACCTCTCCACCTGTTCGAATGGAACAGGTGAATGATGAACAGGTAGATCATGAAATGGTGGAGAGCAATCATACTTGCAATTTTCCGACTATGGACATCCAAGATCGCCTCCACAATCACCAGCCAGTCCAGCATTGTTGACCTTTCCCCGCTACTAAACTCCCCTTGCCCACCTTCCGCGACTCTTTTTAAGGAATTTCGGTTTGTCAAATCAGGTCGGTCAAGCTGTGCTTCTGCAGCTGTTGGCGTTGCCGTTATTGCACCTGCTGTGACCCCGTACATGGAGGCCGAGATGCCAAAGTCGGCCAGCTCTACGTTGGCATTGGAGTCTACTAGTGTGTTCGACACCGTGATGTCCCTGCAAATATATTGGTAGGTTCAAGGTGATTTCTTTCAAAAGCAAAGGTTGTGCTGCCATTTATCCACCACCCCCAATTAAATTTTAAGATAAAAGGAGGTTTCTTATGTGATTGCTCCATGAATTAATCTAAAAAATTATTGATTTTTCCCATAATTTCTTTTATCTAATGGGACCATTACCGAATGATGTTGTAAATTTTAAATAAAAAAATAGTTGCGAATCCATAACTTAAACTGAATAAACTGCATTGGTTTCAAATTTTCTCTAAAATAAAATTTAGAACAAAGCTACTCTCCCATTTCTACCGTTATACCTGTGAACGTGACTTCGCCCACGTAAATACGCCAAGCTGCTCAACGTGTCCCGTAGAATCACAACCACGCAGAGCTCCAAAAATCCATAGGGGAACGACGATGGCATGATGGATGGTAGCGTGTCACCGGACATGAACAGCTTGACTAGCCAGAGGCTCTGGCCAACTTTGAAGGAGCAGTAGGCCCCCAGAATGTTGGGGTGATGAGAAAGCCGGGATATGGTGCGGACCTCGCCACGCACTTCGTCAAGGTTAGTCCGCAAACAGTCCAAATGGATGCAATTGATCGCCACAATCACCAACGCTGACGGGTCCATGGACGTGCAGATAGCCGCGTAAACAACGGCGCTCACACCGTGCCCCATCTCGTCCACAAGCTCGTAGCTGCTGGGCTCTTTTTCCTCGTGATCCATGAGAAATGATCGATCTTGGATTGGTTTGCCGAGACTATTTTCAGAGATCCTCTTGTGTTCCACGATTGGTTATGCGGAAAGAGATTGACTCTTGAGAGTTACGTGGGTTTTATTCAAGAAGATGGAAGGAGAGGCGATGTTGGCGGCTTTGTGTTAGGGTTGTAACAGAGAGACTCTACAAAAGACAAAGACCCTTGAGAGTTTCGTGGGTTTTCTTGAAGAAGATGGAAGGAGAGGGGGTTAGGGGGGTTTGCAGGTTTGTTGTTGGGGTTGAAAGAGAGATAATCTACAGCCGCGGTGATTTTTATATGGATTTGAAGAATTAAGTTCATGCATGTGAATTTAACTGATGAGAGAGAGAGAGAGAGAGGTGGCCCTGCGTCTAGTTGATCAGCGGCTGATATGACCTTCAGATGGGCGGGAAAGAATAAATGCGGCTGAGAAAACCAATATACCAAGAATTAGTTTCGCAATTCTGGTTTTGACATGGACGAAACTAGGTGATGGACCTACCAACAAAGGACAGAATGAAATTTTAGTTAATTAATTATGATTATAGACTAATTCATTGAATTCCCATAGAAATAGTTCAAAGAGTGATGATACCACGTAGTAGTTCACATACTTCATTAAAATTAGTTTAGATTATAGACTAATTTATTGAATTCCCGTAGAAATAGTTTAAAGAGTGATGATGCCACATAGTAGTTCACATACTTCATTAATAATTTCATGTTTGTTTGCTCTTCAAATAGTTGGATTAAACAAATTAAAATGAAGAATTTTGCAAGGAACTAACTAATCTCAACTTTTCTCAGATTATTTGTCTCGAAATTGAAATCCAAGCTTACCTCTTCCCAATAATTAATGTCAAGAGAAGACACAAAATAGCCGAGTGAAGTGACGGAGTGGGTAATTTGGTGAGGAAAGAGCAACCGAATTTTGTAAATTTAATAGCCAAAAGGTTCAGGTTCAGTCTTAGGACTTAATGGTCAACACTTCGGATGTTTTTGTTTATACTTTGGTAATAAAAGGGAAATTGAATTATTGATTTTATGTATTCTTCTTTACTCTCTATTTTCACCTTTGTGAAAGTTAAGAGTTTGGTAAAGCTTACTTGGGTATCTGAGTAGGTGCCTAAGTGCTGCATGTGGGTATAGAGTGAATTAGTCTTGTGATTCTCAAGAGGGACTAGCCCATCACAAGTGATATTAGATTTAGGTTTTGCTCATTTGTTAGAAATGATTAGAAATTACTTGGATACAGTTCAAGAGGAAACTTTGCAATGGTGAAAGAAAAATGGTGAAGTTGCATACTGTGATGTAGTGTCAGGGGGTCATAGCCCATGCAGAAACAATGGAGAGGTCTTGAGGCATTGCAAAGTGACATGGAGAAGTTGGACTGATCTATAATATTTTGATGGTACAAGTAATGATCAAATAGATCCATCTAAACAGAAATGATCCAAATTCAGTTTGAATAATTGTAGGAAAAATTTGAATTGAAATTGACTAATAAAAAACTAAGAATACTTATCCAATTGATTTTAGAAAACCTTATTTAGAAACTTTAACAAGAACTCAATTACAAATTCGATTCCTTCTCAAACTCTCTGACTTTTGGGCTTAGATATTGCAAATTTTTATGCTCATATGAGTTGGCCTTTGTCGATTATCTTCTCAAGTATGATTGGAATAGTTAAAGGGTTCTTGTCAAAAAACTCTAGTTAAGTTTTGAATTTTCTGGAGGTATTTCTCCTCCTTTCCCATAGAAAATTAGTCCTATTTTTATATAGAGAAGTTTTAAAAGAGATAGGACTTATAAATGATAAAAACTCTTTAAAAGATAAGATTACCTTTTTTGAAATGATTATAAAAATCTATATTTCATATTCTAAGTAAATCTAAACTTAATCTAAAAAAATAAAATAAAAATATAATCCTTAATCAAATCTAAATTAATTTTGAGTAAAGAATACATTTATCTATTTTTAATTGTTTAAAGATAAATTATATATTTTCACTTGCCTCGACACAAGAAGGCCTATCGGGTACAAAAAAAAAAAAAAAAAAAAGGATAACACATCAACCAGATGAATATCCCATTACTGCAAATATATTTGATCACGTTCACAGTCTTTTCTTGAAGTGTCTTTAGCATACGAATTTACCATAAAACCTGTCAAGATGTACCTGACTTGATTTTTGCTTAGTAAAGAAAGACTTCTAGTTTTCGGGGAAATTTTCAATTAAGTAAAATTTTCCAGTTTCAATATAACTAAATTGATTGATTTTGAGAATGATTTTGAGCTTTTGATGATGATGCTAATTAATTATGTTCCCAAGCCATATTGTTTCCTATTTTCATTTTCCCTTTTTTAAGCACAGAAATGTTTTCAAAAACTCGTGACAGGATATAATTGATCAAAAATATTTTTACAGTTGCTAGACTATTGAAAGAAAATGACAAAGGGTAAATTGTAAATAGGTTGCAACAGATTGCAACTGATTCCCAACCGATTCTGTTGTAACAGCATGACAGTTTTGTGTAGCCTCTTGTAACCTTTTTTCAATGTATATATAAGTCTCACAATGATACGGATGAAGTCATAAAGATTGATCAGAGAATTCTCTCTAATCTCTGTTCTTCTTCAAAAGTGGTCTCTGCTGTAAACCAGAGGTAGGGTCACAGATTACCCGTAGTAGAATTTTTAATGCCCATTGAGTCAATGAATATACAAAATAAAAGTTATTGTATGTATTAAAATTATTTGATTATAGAGGTAATGAACTCTTAGAATTAAAAAGCAATAAACTATAGAATAATCTAAGAAAAATTATGAGAAGCATCTTAAAACAGCAAGATATTTATTTATTTATTTATTTTCTCCAGTTTTCTTTAGTGAAAAAAGTCTTGTATACATAGGTTTGGTGAGGGGTTCTTAAAGTAAAGAGATTTCACAAGTGAAACAAATTTCCTAAAAAGATAAGAATTCCTAAATAAAATCAAAATAAATCTAATATAAATAAAACCCTCAATAAATCTGAATCTAGTATTCTAAATCAAACAAATAAATCAACCAAAGATTTAATAAAATTTCATAAAAGATCCTCCCGGATCATTAATGGGCTGTTCCTCCTTTTATCTCCGCAATTGGTTCGGCCATGGTAGTTGCTTGGAATTACTCAAGCTTTTGATTTGTCTTTATTTATTTGGCAATTTGCTCATTGTTTGCGTATTATGTGGTGTGTTTAGCTTGGTATTAGATTAGTAGGCAATTACAACCGGCAAGACTGGGCATGATATGTGAGTCATTGCATAGGATGGTTAAGAGGGATCCACGGGGACAACTTGTCTCAGCTTATTTATTTATTTTATCTGTGCCAATCTTTGGTTATATTTAGGGTTATTAATGTGTTAGATTTGGATCCAATAATATAAATTTGAATTTTGATTATCCACTCATATATTTGAATTTGATCTAAAATCATATAGAATATGTATCTGTTAATCTATATTTGATTTCGATGAATAATGCGAAATATTAATATAAACTTTTTATTTACAGTTTAAATATAATTTTATCCCTCTTTTTATTATTCTTTTCAACAGAGTATTTTGAAATATTTTGTTTTAAATTTAATTTTTGTTTGGGATCCAATGTGCAATAGACATAAATTGTCACAGGAAAATATTTTATAACTGCTTGTGGTTACTCATACGGGTGTATTTTAATTAAATAACTATTATTATTATTTAAGTGAAATAGATTCATTTATTATTCAATGTTAACTGTGATTAAAAAAAACAAAATTTTATATCATTATCTTAGTTATTACATATAATTTTAATTTTGAATTTTATCAATCAAGCCTTAGTTACTAATTATTACATATGTATTTTTGTTCGTTAGTTTTTCCCATACCCCGGAATAAACAATTATGATTAGTTACTAATTCTGTTAGTAGTTAATATTTGTTATGATTAGTTGTTGATTCTATTAGGAGACTAACAGAACGAGTAACTAATTAGAATGAGTAACTAATTATAACAGACACTAACTACTAACTAACAATAAAATACTCTAACCTAATCAACAGCTAATCATAACTAATATATAATAGACTTATTGGGTTATAGAATTATTTTTGATATTAGTTTAAATGAGTTTATAGGTAAACCTACGTGATCAAAATACTAGTGCAATATGATATATTTCTGGATGAGTCGGGTTTTTTTCTTTTTGTTTCTGTGTAGTTGAATGTCTCGTTGTTCAAGAAAACATTGAAGAAAGCCTGTAGCTGTGGCAAGATGGTGGGCTTTCTTGTATCCTAAGTGAAAAATTAAAAAATTTCCGTTGTACAGTTGAAACTAAATAGACGTATTTTTACTCGATCGTAACTTTTTATATTTTTTTAATTAAAATTTTCATAAAATCAAAATTGAAATTTTAATTTAGTTGATCCAAAATAAAAAAAAATGGAGAGATTGAAAAGTAGTGGGAGGTAATCCAGAATCCTTCGGGCAGGTACCAAAACTCTGTAAAAGTAGCCAGCATAACAGTAATTTCCTTTGCCTTAAGTTTCACTAGTAATCGACTTGCACGGTCTCAACTATTTTTTTAGTTTAAAAAACATATTTTTAAAAATATCTTATTCACATTAATTATGGAATGATTCTTTTCTAAAAGGAATTCCTCTCGAGTAAAAAATATATTTACTCATTTTTAATTGTATAATGATAAATTATATTTTTTCACCTACCTCAATAAATTATATTAATTAATTAATTTGATATTTGTAAATAAACATTAAATGTTTAATTAATTTTGTTGAAACATCAATTTTTTTTTTACCTTACTTTTGATTGACGCAAGATTTTAACAGATGACATGTGATTATTAGCATATTATAATAAATAAATAATTAATCATATATTTGAAATGGGTGTGAACATTAAAAATTAGGCAGCATTCTTCAACGAGTATTTCATTATTTGTA